ATAAGCAAACTACTTGTGTTGAGGCTTCTATCAATGGTGCAAGGTTGAATATGGTCGTTGATGATGGAATTACATAGGCGTATTCATGAGCGTCCAAGGTGGAATCGATTACTCATCATCAGATTGTGTCAAGGGACATGGTGGGAGCAACTTTGTTGCTCAAATCGGTGAAAGAGGAACTGGCACAACTGCTTTGGATGGTGGCGCTTCTCCCGTTACTACAATGATGAGTTCCTTCACCAAATCAAATCCACAAAGGCTAGTTTTTTTCCATGCAAAAATGAAGTGAACATGTCAACATAGCACCATGAACCAATGGAAGTTCATAAGGGGCCGACCATAGAGATTTTCTATAATTCAACTTTCAATCCAACAAGGTGAACAAGGAGATCTGAATTCTTGTCCACAACCATCGAAAAGATGAAGTTTGTTATTATCACTGCAACTATTGTAGAATTCCCTTCATCGGTTATTTGTATGCAAGAAGTTGCGGGATTGTCACCAGGAAAGCTTGATCGAATTGTTGGAGGAGTTCCTGAAGGGGCCAGCGGTGGGTCGACAAGCACATCAAAGGTTCCTAGGGATATGAAGTGGCAACGTTTGGCATAGGCACACATAAGATGAATCGAACGCAGGTTGGATGGGTCGGTCATAAGTCATAACTATCTGGGCTAAATTGTTTGACCTAACTTATTGGAGCAGTGGAGGTTATGTGACCAGACTAGCGGCAAACCTACGTGTGTCAGCGCTCGGACCAATTTCGAGTGGGCTAGTCTGCTACTATGTTGGGCCGATGATTGAATGGCTGATGGGAGGTTTGCTCTATGGTGTCGGGTTCAATTCATGTAAAACATATGTTGGGGATACGACTAGTCGACTAGGGATGGCAACTTTGCCCATACCCATGGGTTTCTTACTATCCAACCCAATTGGGTTGGGTATGAAATCCAAATAGATGGATATGGGTAGAGTTTGATGGGTTTGTACCCATACCCATTTACTTTGGGTTGAGTTGGGTTTATATCAAATGGATTTGGGTTTGTACCCATGTCTAAATACAAATTACAGTTTGGTACCCAAACTTAATAGACATGCATATTTAGTACCTAAATTTAATTTTTTGTGCATATAAGTCCTCAAAATATCGATGGAAAATTATGTTTTGCTACCTAAATTGTTTTGGTCTTACATTTTGGTACCTAAACTTTCAAGTTTTGCAAATAGGTCCAATTTTTGCATGTGTAGTTAAAATACCCTCAAGTAAATGGATATCCATATCCAACCCATACCCATTTATATTATGAAAGCCCCAAACCCAAACCCATCTATAAACCCCCAAATCCATATGCACTTCACCCATACCCAACCCATTATCAATGGATCTACTTGGGTTTGGATATAATTACCCATGGGTGGGTAATTTGCCATCCCTAGATACGACGATTGGGTGGGATGGATATTGGTCATATTTGGTGGACCTAGTGGGGGTAGGAAGCCTGATGAGCTGCGGAAGTAAATAGAACTTAACCGGGCGGACCTTCACATGTACCTGCACATGTCTTTTTTTAAATATAAATTATTTCAATGTGCATTTTATATGAGCACTTCTACTATGCTATATAGTATTGGTGTTTTAATGTACAACTTGAAGTTGTACCATAACATTAAATGTATAAATTTAGCTTGTACCATAAAAGAATTTGTATCATTATGTTATGGTACAATTTTACAACTTGAACTTGTACCATCATATAAGGTACAAGTTTAAGTTGTACCATAAAAGAATTTGTACAAAAAGTATAGGTACAATCTGAAGTTGTACCATAACATTAAATGTAAAATTTCAAGTTATACCATAAAGGTAAAAATCAATAGCACCAATGCTATATAGCATTGTAAAATTCCTCCATTTTATATACTCTGTAAAATTGATTTTATGACAATTAAATAATATGAAGCGAGTTTTAGTGCAGTGAAAAATATTCTTACGTCAACTCAATGTGATGAAATTGTTCTCTTTCACAAGTATACACATTGAATTTTTTTTTTACCAAAACTTGCATTTTCTAATTTAATGTCATTAAAGATTGAAAGCTAAATTAATTTTCATTCTCTTTCTTTTATCGTTATTTGCTTTGATTTTATCCTTCAATTATTATGAATGATTCACGTGATTTTTTTAACTGGAACCTTTTTGGGTTAATACCTTATTTTGGCCTGAACTATGACCATATAATCAACTTTGGCCCGTGGTTTCAGAAATTAACATCCTAGCCTCAACTATGTAACATATAGACTCAATTGGCCCGACAACTAGTTTGACCGTCAATTTGGATGGTCAACTCCATTGACCGTTAGTCAACAAGTCATGTCATTGTCTCGTCAGCCTAAAAATTATTAAAAAATTCAAATTAATTTGTTTTAAAATTTTTATTATTTATAATCAAATTATAAAAAATTATAAAAAACATAAAATAATTTTTTTATTTTTATTTTTTTTGAGATTTGAAAATTATTAATTTTATAAATTAACCAAAAATTATCAAATTATTTTATATATTTAACATTACAAAAAATGAAATATATAATTTATAGGGTTAATATCTTATTTTGGCCCGAACTATGACCATATAATCAACTTTGGCCCATTCAGAAATTAACATCCTGGCCTCAACTATGCAGCATATAGACTCAATTGGCCTGACACTTGGTTTGGCCGTCAATTTGGATGGTCAACACCGTTGACCGTTAGTCAACACATCATATCATTGCCTCGTCAGCCTAAAAATTATTTAAAAAATCAAAATCATATTTTCCTAATTTCTATTATTTATCATTTTCATATTAACCAAAAAATAAAATGTAAAATATATAAAATAAAATATATATTTTAGTTTTTGGAATATTTGAAATGATTAATTTTATAAATCAACCAAAAATGATCAAATTAAATTTTATATATTTAAAAAATATTATATAAATTATATATTTCATTTTTGGTAATGTTAAATATATAAAATAATTTGATAATTTTTGGTTAATTTATAAAATTAATAATTTTAAAATAAAAAAATAAAAAATAAAAAAATTATTTTATGTTTTTTATAAATTATTTTTTTAATTTGATTATAAATAATAAAAATTTAAAAAATATTTTAATTTGAATTTTTTAATGATTTTTAGGCTGACGAGACAATGACATGACTTGTTGACTAACGGTCAATGGAGTTGACCATCCAAATTGACGGTCAAACTAGTTGTCGGGCCAATTGAGTCTATAGGTTACATAGTTGAAGCTAGGATGTTAATTTCTGAAACCACGGGCCAAAGTTGATTATATGGTCATAGTTCAGGCCAAAATATGGTGTTAACCCTAATTTAATAATATTTTTTAAATGTATAAAATTTAATTTGATCATTTTTGGTTAATTTATAAAATTAATCATTTTCAAATATTCCAAAAAATAAAATATATATATATTTTATTTTTTGTTTTTTGGTTAATTTGAAAATGATAAATAATAGAAATTAGGAAAATAATTTGATTTTGATTTTTTAATAATTTTTAGGCTGACGAGGCAATGATATGACGTGTTGACTAACGGTCAACGGTGTTGACCATCCAAATTGACGGCCAAACCAAGTGTAAGACCAATTGAGTCTATATGCTGCATAGTTGAGGCCATGATGTTAATTTCTGAAACCAAGGGCCAAAATTAATTATATGATCATAGTGTGAGCCAAAATAAGATATTAACCCAACTTTTTCCACGTAAGAGTGTTTCTCTAGCAATTGGTACACGATCGCTCGTTTGAGACTGAGCTGTAAGGATCACAATTTTTTATTGTTTCTTTTTTTATGATAACTATTGTTTATTGTTTTTTTATAGGAATTGTTTATTGTTTCTGATGATAAGGCAATGCAATAAAATTAATTAAAAGTTGATGGGCTATGACGGGACGATGCTCGATCATCTTGCACTTGGATCCCAACGTCATATTAGTTTATTTCATACATATCTTGCCACCTCACCATACCATAGCAGAAACACAACAAATATATAGATACTTAGGAAATTTGCAATTTCTTCTTCTCACGCAGTCTCGTCTCGTAGGGCTGCAAATGAGCCGAGTCGAGCCGAGTCAAATTTTACCCTAGTTTAAGCTCGGCTCGTTAATAAATGAGTCGAGTTATTAACGAGCCGAGTCGAGTTCGAGTTAGCTTGTTTACTAAAATTTTAACTTTTATTTGGTACTTCATTTTGTATATCATTAATTTTAAGTACTCCAAATCATGTTATTGCATAGTAACGAAGCTATTTATGATACATAATTTTTTTTAAAATAGAAAATAAGATAAATTTGCTCACATACTCAACGTTTTAAACTTTATATATGGTGAAATATATAATTTAACAACCATATGAATTAAATACATAAGATATAGATTGATTCGTCCATAAGTCGGTAATCGAGTTGGCTCTCTAGCCACATGTTGAGACATATCATGAGCTCTAAATGAGACAGCTCACCAGTTTAGCTCAACAAGCCACCGAGTCGAGCTAGCTCGCGAGCTTCACAAGCTCAAGAAAGTTTAGCACATGTTCGACTCGTTTATTAACGAGCCGAGTTTCGAACGAGCTTTCCTCGAGTCGAACACCAAGCCGCTCGCGAACAGCTCCGCTCATTTGCAGGCCTACTCTCATCTAACGCTGAAGTTTGTACACTAAGTACTGGAACATGACGTGGCGCTAATCCATTGGTTTTTGGTTATATTTTTAGGAATATATAATAATAATCATTACAGCTTCACTATTGTACGAGATATTGCTTCAATTAATCTGCACAGAGCAACCTTAATTATGTCTACTAGTGAAATTTTTGGATCTTGCTGCCAAGATTCGTATCAAAGTGAAATGATGATTGCATGCGTGCGATTGATACGTCTATTCTGGTGAATATTATATGCATGAAGTAAATAAGAAAATAAACAAAAAGATTTAAATTTTCAGATTTTATTTAGTACATTCGAAATGAAAAGCAAAATCAAAAGACGTTAGCGTCTATAATGCGTAACTCCGAGTTTATCTGCTTCAATAAGCGCTGCTATGTCGAGAATAGGGGTGTCAAATCGATTTTGGGTTTTCGGTTTAACCCGAACCCGAACCGATAGTGAGGCTTGTCGGGTTTGGGTTCTCGGTTTCAGCTCTCAAGCGGTTTTTCCGGTTTCGGTTTCAGTGGAATCCGAAAAACCGATATGGACCCGAATTCAAGGAACTGGGGCGCGACTGCAAACAAACCTTGAATCAGAAGCGAGGGTAGTAGTAGGTGGGGGAGGTTAACTGGAAGAATCATCACTGGAAATCCAGGAGATGCAGCTGGGCAGTTGAAGCTTGAAGCTCGAGGACTCTGGAGCAGTATCTGATTGATTAGCCAAAATTGCCCACTTGGGCCGCCATGACCATCCAACGAGAACGCCAACAAGAACCGCAATCCAGAGGGGAGCTACCAGCATGGAGAGCTCGGCCTTGACAGCAAATGGGTTGGGCTGCTGGAGAATGTCGAGCAATATAGGCCACAAAGCCATTGGAGGGGGCGCAGAAGGAGAAGTGAAGCAAAGGGAACCCTCGATTGAATTGGGAGAGATGTGGGGGAAAGGGTTTATAGAGCAGCGACCAGTCGAGGGTTCCGAGAGGAAGAAGAAGTGAAGAATCTCCCCAAAGTTAAAAAGGAGAGGAGGAAGGAAAAAAAATAAGGGAAGGAATGCGGGGATGAGGATGAGGATGAGGGGAATAAGCTGGCAGCAGAGAGGAGGGAGAGAGAAAGGGAAAAGACAAATGGTGGAAGAAGGGATGAGGATGAGGGGAATAAGCTGGTAGCAGAGAGGAGGGAGAGAGAAAGGGAAAAGACAAATGGTGGAAGAAGAGAGAAGGTTCTTGTTCGGTGTAGGTTCTTGTTCTGGTTCCGGGTCGGAATCTGAATCACCATTTCAGCTTTGAGAAGAGAAGGTTGAGAAACAGGGGAAGGAAATTAGAACGTTTAAAAAATGAACAGATGTGCATTTTCGGGTTTCGGGTTCTTGTACCCACCCGAACCCAACAAATAGAATATCGGGTTTCGGTTACCCGAAAACCGAAAGTTGGCTTCTCGGGTTCGGTTTCGGGTTTAGACAAAGCGGGTTTCGGTTTTCGGGTTCGGTTTACCCGAACCGAACCGAACCGAACCGACAGGCCTAGTCGAGAAGAGGGGAAGGCCATAATCGCTCCCCTTGTTCACATTCATGACATGCTTCGGCGAGGGCATCGGCAACCTGATTTGCTTCTTGTAGCGAATGACTTAGGATACAATCCCAAGATCGATTAAGTAGTGCATGACAATCTTCTAAAATGACTCCCAGAGGGTGGTAGGAGAAATCAGCTGATTGAAGGAGGAGGACAACAACTTTGGAATCTGATTTAACCTCCACTTGATGGCATCCAAAACACCAGACCAATGTTAATTCGTCTCTTAATACCCGTACGTAGTTCAACTTCATGGGCAGAACATTGTCCCACTATATTAGCAAAACCCACAATCCATGCACCCGTTGAATCTCGCAACACCCCACCAATTGCTGAAGACGAGGGAGTCATTCTTTTACTTTCGTCGACATTGAGCTTCACCCAACCTTCTGCAGGCTTGATCCAAGAAACTTGTCTAAGAGGAGGAGGTGCCTGGGGAGAGGTCTTGCTTACCGATCGAATGGATCTCTGCGGCTAGAGGTTGCAAATGGATTGATCCATGGATTGGTGGATCGATGGATCAAATGGATTGGATCCAATGGATTGGTGGATTCATGGATTGGATCAAGGGGATTGGTGGATTATGCATGAATCCAAATGACATCCTCAACCAAGGACCAATATGTAAAATGTGAAAAGATTAGGTACTAAAATGTCATAATGAAAATTTTTAGGTACCAAAACGTAATTTTTCAATGATATTTTTCGTATAAAAAATAAATTTTGGGTATCAAAATTTAAAATATAAAAAATATAGATACCAAACCGTAATTTGTCATTTGGATCCATGGATCAATCCATGAATCCACCAATCCAATTGGATTTGGATAAAATGGATTGAATTAGGTGAATACTTTTAATGGGTTGATAGATTGGATTGAGAATTGCCGCATTTATCTGCAGCGCATCTCTGTGTCATTTGCCAAAAGTGTTCTCTCGTCCAAAACTCCCCTCAATGAACAAAAATATTTTTTTTCTTTCCATATGTGACACACAGTTGCTGAATTTAAATTTTCAGATAAAAATAAATGGTCGTGAAATCAGTTGGTTCTACCTTTATCATTCTAGCTGAAGCCCGCATTCCAAATCATAGTTATATCTATATAATGTCAAACTCTTTCCATAGTATCAAAAATTCACAATGCATTGCACACACCCCGCATTATACCACTATATACTGTAAGGAGCTAGATGTAGCTAGATGTCTAGTTGAAAGACAAGAAAAACACCATCCAGACATTCAGGAATGGACCTATGTTATTGAAGGTTTGTTAATTGGCGGACCTTGATTCAAATTTGGCACATATAAACTTTGTGACAATGACAAACCTTGATCCAAATTTAAAATAAAAATTTGTACCATTTTACTACTCAAAACCATAGTTAGTAAATACTACGTTTAATACACGTATATGTAACCGTACGTCCTTCATCCGTTTAAAACTTCCGTCTCCGTATTATTGTCAAGCTGTTTTATTAGTTTCCTTTCATTTAACGGCTCCCATAGTAAACACGTATAAAACCCGTATAACACGTTTAATATCCGTATTTATTATTTAATAAAATAAATTATTAACTTTACTATGTTTACATATTTATTTATTTATTTATTTATAAAAATAAATAATTTGATGTATTTATAACTATTAACGTACTATTAAATGTAACATTAGCTAAGAGGCAAAGTATAATACCCGTACGTATTTTATACATAACTTTCCCGTACTGTATTTTACTAACTATGCTCAAAAGTCAAAACTACTTAAACCCTTTTAATAATTTTATTTATTGCTGAATACTTTTAAAAGAATATTTAGGTCCCTTAGAGCAGCTGCATCGACTGTCTTGCAGCCATTCCATTGATGACATGACACTTCCATTTACCATTTCATGGTTGTAGAGGTTATTCTATAAAGTGACAGCTTCCACTTAATGGAAGTCTGAATGGAATGGCAAGTGGGGTAGATGTGGGCCCCTTTCCATGGTTTTGCCTCGTCACTTTATTTTTTCTTTTTTTCCTTTTAGATAAAATATAGAGTTGTATTAAAATAATCAATTGGGCCCATCATATTAAATAGAAAGTGTATGTCATTGATGTGGAGGGAATGAAATTAATATGAAGTGAAATGAGAAAAGTTGTTAATGTTGCGGTAGGGACCACATATGAAATATAAATGGTATTTCATTTTTTTTATAGGCAATCTGGTCAATATTATTAGAAAGATCAGTTCCGGCCCACAGGGCCTAGGCCCAATTCAGCCTCCACCATACAAAGAAGATTAATAGGAGGGTTATCCACCCAAACCACCTGATGATTCCAACCCGACCCAGAATGGGCTAACCAGTGAGCCAAAGAGTTTGTTTTCCTCGGCGAGAACCTCCATCTGATCTTGTATCCCGATATCCTTTCATTCACCAAAGCCAGATCCTTAAGCTCCTCGCATCAAATTCCCAGCTCAGTATAATCCGACTCGCCTTTTTCCAACAAATTCACTAGAGCTTGACAATCTGATTCAACCATCATAGGGATAAGGGATATGCGATTAGCTTCACGCAATCCCATCACCATCGCCTTTGCTTCTGCAACAATAGGCTTGCATATCCCTTTTTCTCTCTTCACCATTACCCCAACAAATTCACCCCTCCAATTGCGATAATAGATCTCAATCCGATTCCTTGTTGCTGGATCACTCCTGCGTCACAATTCATCTTGGAGACTCCCTCAGGGGGAGGGGGGAAGCCATCGATCTGTTCTGGTGATTGTGTTCCTAGCCGGATCTGCAGAGATTGTCGAGGATGGAGAGGACTGAAATTCCAGGAAGGAGGACAGCCACCCTAGCGCTTTCGGTATGATATCTTCCTCATCCAGCTTCAAATTGTTGTACTTGTGATTACATCTCTCTTTCCATAAGAACCACAATATAGCACAAAACCTTTGGATTCTCTCCATCAGTGCAGTTTTGAAAATTTGTGCTAACCAGTCAATGCAAGACTTTCCTTCTCCCATCTCATATAGCTCCTTTTCTTCGCAGTTTTTCCATATCCTTCTAATCCACTCGCACTCTCAAATGAGCATGGGTTTGAGTTTCTGGAAGGTTGCAAAAGGGGCATTCCGGCGCTGCACTCTCAATCCACTCCTCCACGTTCACTCCCACAGGTAAAATGTTCTTACTCACCTTCCATAGAAAAATGCGAACCTTAGGTTGGATCTGAATATTCCACAAAAACTTCCAGAGCTCAGGGTCCTCCGAATTTCTATTGTGAAGCCGGTTCAACGTGACATGTTGGTTTCCTCGAATGAATTTGTAAGCTGACTTAACAGAATAAGCTCCATTTTCAGTGTCCATCCAAACCCTAGAATCCTTCCCAGGGGGAGACCGGATAGGAATTTTGGCGATAAGGGCTTGTTCATTTATAGAGAAGAGCATCTGTAGTTTGTTTTCATCCCAACCTCCATAGACCTCATCAAAAAGGTCACAGACTCTTGATTCTGGTAAAACTCCCTCAGTAGGGGGGTCAACCTGATAGAAACTCTTACCTGGTATCCAGGCATCCTTCCAAATGTCAATAGATTTACCATCCCAACTCTCCATGTAAAGCCCTCTTCAATCTTCTCCTCTGCCCCCATAATGATTTTCCACATATATATAGGTTTGTAACCCAGTTTTGCTTCTAGAATATCCGTCTTAGGGAAGTATCTAGCTTTAAGAACTCTAGCCATCAAAGATTGAGGTCTTGTTAGAACGTTCCAGATTTGTTTTCCAAGCATGGCATAGTTAAAAGCCCTGAGATATCTGAACCCAATTCCCCCTTCCTCTTTATCATCACATAATTCATCCCAATCCAGCCAATGGATTTTAGACTCCTTCCCCTTCTGTCCCCACCAGAAATTTGATATGAGCTTCTAAATTTCTTTTAAGGTGCCATCTGGAATCAGGAAAACAGACATGGGATAAAGACATTGTGCTTATCATAATCTCCTTACCTGCTTGAGACATAGTCCTGCTCTTCCAATCCTTCAACTTCTTCCTGACTCGCTCTTTGATGCTCTCAAACAGGGGCTTTTTAGATCTCCCAACCACAGTAGGTAAAACTAAGTACTTGGGATGCTTTTCCACCTCTTTGACTCCCAGAGTGCCACAGATCTCGAGTCTTCTGCTGATACAAACATTTTTACTAAAAGATAATTCAGATTTACTGAGATTAATGAGTTGTCCAGATTCAATAGCATAGGTTCTCAGGATACTTTTGAGCTGATCACATTCCTGAAGAGTAGCTTTTCCAAAGATCACCACAGTCGTCTGCAAACATCAAATGAGAAATCATAGGAGCATTTTTCCTGATTTGAATACCGTGTAATAAACCATCCCCTTCAGCCTTTTTGATTAGAGCAGTCAACCCTTCTGCACACAAAAGAAACAGATAGGGAGACAGCGAGTCGCCCTGTCTTAGACCTCTCGTAGGAGTGAAACATTCTGACTTATGCTCGTTAACGAGGACAGAATAAGACACTGCTGAGATACATTTCATAACAAGATTAGTCCATCTCTCATCAAAATCCAGTTTCCTCATAACTTTTTCCAAAAAATCCCACTCAACACGGTCATAGGCTTTGGTCATATCAAGTTTAGCCGCATAATAACCATCCTTCGCTTTCTCTATTTGTTTCATGAACTGAAAACATTCATAGGCAACAACAACATTGTCAGTAATGTTTCTCCCTGGGACAAAGGCATTTTGCTCCTCCGAGATTAGCTCATCTAGAATCAATTTAAGCTTGTTGGCCAACACTTTGGAAATAATTTTGTACACCACTCTGCAGAGACTTATAAGTCTAAAATCTTTCACAGTATTAGGGGACTTCACCTTGGAAATTAGGGCGATGAGAGTATGGTTTAGATCTGGAGGAAGACTCCCGTTATTGAAAAATTCAAGCACCATCTCCATCACTTCAGGGCCAATAGTGTTCCAATTTTTCTGGAACAAAACTTGCAGAGAAACCGTCAGAAGTTGGAGCTTTATTAGGGCTCATTTGTTCAAGGGCTGTCTTGACCTCCTCTCCATTTAAGGGCCTGAGAAGCCTCTCATTCATGACTGGAGTGACCTTACTTTGTATCGTATTTAAAATAATTTCAGTCCCTGGGATGTTATCTTTAGAGAAAATATTTCGATAGTAGTCCAGGATGCATTGGGAGACTTCTCTTTGTCCCTTAAACACCCTACCTTCCTCATTCCTCAACAGTCTTATAGTATTCCGCTTTCTTCTCGCTGAAGCTTTAGCATGAAAGAATTTATTATTTTTGTCTCCTCCTTTCAACCAATCAGTTATGGACCTTTGCTTCCATAATTCTTCCTCCTGTTGGATAAGCTTGCTTCTTTCCGCTTCCAAGGCCTTCCTTTGCTCCAGCACAATGGTAGTCTTTGGTTTATGCTTAAAGGTCTTAAGAAGCTTGTCAATTTCTTCGATTTCCTTCTTAAATCTCCAAATTTTCTTTTACTCCACCTAAGAAGTTTGGCTCTGCAACTGGTCAAGATAGCAATTAAGTTCCCATTTGGATTGTCCCTGCAAGCCTTATTGACGATCTCAGCACTCTCTGAGTCTTTTAACCAAAAAATTCAATCCTAAAATATCAGCCCCATTTTATTTCTTCCTCTTCTTTCCCAGCTGTATACAGCAAGATTGGGCAATGGTCAGATCCACATCTGTCCAGATGAATAACTTCATGGTTAGGAAAAGTATATTTCCACTCCCAACTAGCCACACACCTGTCCAGTCTTTCTTTGATAAAACCTTCATTAGACCTATTGTTTTCCCAAGTGAAAGGATAACTCTTAAAGCCACAGTCGAGAAGGCCACAAAATTCGTGAGCCTCTCTGAACTCCTCAGCTTGATTTTCATTAATCAACCTTCATCCTCTCTTTTCTTCCCCTGACAAATTTGGTTAAAATCACCAAGGCAAACCCATGGTAGAGAACATCCATTGTTAAGCCCCTTTAGAAGGTCCCACGACCTGAATCTATCTTCACTATTAGCTCAGCCATAAAAGCCCGTAAGTCTCCATCTTTCACCCCCCCTCCTCACAACTAAGGAGTACATCGATATGATGGAGAAAAGAAGAAACTTTAACTGCTGAAACCTCCTCATTCCAAAACATACTAAGACTTCCCACTTTCCATCCATTAACATTACTAGCAGCCACACCACACCCCCCTGAATAGCCCAATTTACGTTGAATCTCTTGCCACCCTCTTTCATCCTTTCTTGTTTCCATTAGAAAAAGTACATCCGGTTGTTGCTTTCCGACCAGCTTTTTCAGTTTAGCAACTGCCGAGGAGCTGCCCAAACCTCGACAGTTGTAACTGATAATCTTCATTGGACTCGACGGCCTTGCTCCTCGGCAAGGGCCACCACATCGCCATCCAAATCAGAAATAGGGAAAGGTCTGGATCGTTTTTCATTAAGAAGAGAATCGTCAATATCCATATCATCTGGAGTTCTTCTCTTTCCCATATCAATCTTTCCTTCCACAACTTGTGATCCTTGAGATATTTTCCTGCTTAATCTTTTCCATTTCTTCCCATCTTTCATGTCCAGGTCACTTTTACCAGCTTGCTCCTTGCTCATTTCTTGTATCTTCTCACTCCCCTCTTTATTTGTCAACTCTGTGGATTTCAAAGATTCCAAGAACTTTCCTTCATTAGCTTGTTGGCCCTCTTTAGTTCTGCTTGCTTATTCCTTCTCTCCCGTTTCTTTACTCGTATTAGAGTCCCTCATATTGATAACCAAAAGCCCTTTTGTAAGTTCATTGGTTTGATTTTCCACTTCTGACGAAGTACTTTGTTCTATCTGTTTGGTGCACTTTGCTGCTTGAACTTCTTCCCATAGCTTTAATACTTGTTGAGATTTCTCCTTTTCCTTTAACGATAACTTCCTCAATGGAGAATCAGCTCTTAGCCACGTCCCATAGGGATCTTCATTTGAATTTCCTTCCTCCAACTGTTTTGGGCATGTCTTCTTCAAGTGGCCAAACACTCCACATTTAAAACAGAAAATAGAAACCTCTCATAACCAACCCTGTAGGAAACATGGCCCTCTTTTCCTTGGAGCTTAATCACTCTTCGCAAAGGTTTTGATATAGATACTGAGACTCTGATTCTCATGTAGTCACTACTTACTCCTGAATGTAGTTCATCCCAATGGATGAAGCCTCCAAACATAGTCCCAATCTTCTCAACCATTTGTGCATTTCTGATCTTCAGGGGAAGCTTTTCTTATTCTGATCCAGAAATCAGCCATAGTAAAATCAACTCTTCTCAACTCTAAATCAGGAGGAACCTCCTTGAAAATCAGTAGCTGTCGTTCTAGATGCCACAGACCACCAAACAACACCCTGTTCTTATCTTCATAGCAGTATAGTTGAATCCTTATTATGTTATCTCTCGTTACCTGCACGTCGAAATCCTTTCTCAGTTTCCAAGCTTCACAGAGGATATTTTTCATTATTTTACCAGACGGTGGTTTTCCAACAATAAGTTTCCCTGCCACTCCCAGTTCCTTGATAGCTTCTTCCACACCTTCAGTAATGACAGACTCATCCACATTGATTAAAACTTCTTCTTCCTCTGTCAGGTCTATTCCGGAACACAACACTGCGGGAGCAGCGAGAAGACAAAGCGCTCTCTTGAGATAGAGAGAAAAAACTTCATTAATTAGTAACCCTGATATAAATGATATTTCATTGATGTGGATAGTCTTACCCCATCTGCATCCACTCGCATCCACTGTCACTGCCACTGCCACTCATTCATGCACAAAACCTTGTAAGTTGGGCTGGGTTGTGTTGCAGGCTCTTTTGGCACCTACCCTGGACCATAGAACGGATCCGGCCCATATAAGCGGAGACCGGTTTAGTTTAGTTTCCGACTTCCGAGTTCTTTCATCTTCTCCGACCATGCTCCGTCAACAGAAACCTAGATTAACAAACCTATGACCATGCTCCAGCAATACAACAAAAACAGTACTGGGATGAATCCTCGATTCTTTGGTATCATTCCCGACCGCGAAACCCACCGTCATCGTCCTTTCCAAAACTCGACCACCCACTCTGTAAGTACCCGTCATTCTTCTTCATATATCGTCACATGTACTCTCATCAGGCCGCCTCTCGAAAGCACATTGATTTTCCTTTTTTTGGTTTCATCTCGTGTTGTCGGTCAGCATCTCTTCTTAATTTGAACTAACTTTTCTTGTAAATTGATCCGCAAGGCTGCTGTAGCCTGTAAGTACCAGCTTCCCTGAAAAGTTGCAATTTTGAATGCTTTGTTGGGAACTTGGGATCGTTGATGGGCAATTGTGGGCTTTGTTGCACATTTTTCTCAACATTTTCAAACCAGAGCCAGGAATTCTGCTACTCTCTTTGTATCGATGGTTTAAGAATTTTGTCTTACTGAGTTGCCCGGTTGCAGGTCGGCGAGTTTTTCTGGTCCGGACAGTCCGCTGCCATGTCTGCCTCATTGACGCCTTCCAAGAGACCGAATGATCAGAATGTTAATGAATCGAATGGGAAAGGGCAGTTTCTCTCTAATCAAGTTGGTTGCATCTAGGGGAAGGGTGGCAGCAGGATCAAGCTGATGACAAATGAAAGTGGTGCACAGATCAGGATCATTCCTAGGGATAAACTTCAGACATGTGCATAGGCTCAAGATGACATTGTTTAGTTAATACTGCATGATCCCTCGTGATCTACAAGTTAGATTCATGTTTCCTCTTATCTGTTTAGTTGATCTCCAAATTTACCATATTGGTTTCATTTTTGTAGCCACTCCTTAAGTTTAGCAGTTATTGTTCCTTGAGCTCATTAATACTCGTGTTTTTCAATTACTTTTTACATTGTTCCCAAAAGTCAGTTTGCTGCCATGCTCGTAATATTTGTTCTTCATCTGTTGCTTGTAATGTTGTAGGTCACCGGAGAGATTGATGTTGTTAAGAGAGCTCTTCATTCAGTTTCTATGCAACTTTTGGGAAATGCCGTTAAGGATCAGAATTTGGGTTCTGCCACATCGATTGGGATTTCATCTCAACCACGGGATCATCCTCATCCAACGGAAGAAGCTAATCCACCTGCACATCATTTTGTTGTTTCACGTCGACCACCATACCCTCCTGGACCTCTTGAACCTATACTAACCTTCCGCTTACTATGTCCTGAAGAGAATGTAGGAGGTGTCTTTGGGAAAGGAGGATCTATAATAAAGGGCCTCCAGCTAGAAACAGGTTATGAGATTAAAGTTATGGAAGTTGTCCCAGATTGTGCAGACCGTTTGATAGTTGTCTCTGGTTCAGTGGTATGGCCTCTGGCATGTTCATCTTTTCAATCCCATCCTCCTTTTTTATTGGTTCGGTCATTTATTTTTACTGGCAATATATTTACCCTATTTCCAGGATTTGTTTCCTTTATGATCATTCTCCTTTTATGCATAATCTTCACTCTTCACCTCAACTTGCTTATAGCTAGGTAACGTATCTCTTTTATGTCTGAATAATTCGAATTTACATATTGGATTGGTATTCAGATTCCGTAGTTGCTGTATCTCTTAACTTCTCATTATTGCCAATTGGATGTCAGATTTATTATGGAAAAATTACCCTCACTGACCCAAAGCCTGGAGCAACAGAGACCATTATCATCATATCCGGGACAGCCGAACAGACAAATGCTGCTTGAGCATTCCAGTTCAGTTTCCGTCAACAGAAGAAGTGAGTATTACGTCTGCTACTAGATGTTTTCCTGGTTCACACAACATCTAATATGGGCTTCACCTATTTATGTTGCCGCTCTTTAAGGATAGTCAATTACTTACCTGCAAGTTCGTCGTTATATAAGTAGAAGCTCTGACATAGGAAAGAAGGCTACAACACGATTTAATGTTCCGGAAACTACCAGGCACTATAGCACACAAAAAGAGTGCCCAAATTCGTAAGAACGAATTAGTAGGAATGGGTGTAAAGATACTATTGTAAGTTACTTTCTTATTCACCACTTTTGAAAGGCTGGTATGTTTTCACAGACTGGATCAGGCCTTCCACAGATCCGACTGCAGCGAACAGCGACACAACCAGGCATGTCCAGCTCAATATTTTCAACCACGTCCAGGTGATGGAGAACTTGGGAATCTTGGCCCTTGCAATGTACATCTCTATGGGGAAATACACGGTCAACGGCCAGAACGATGCTGCCCCAATGAGCCCCAGAAAGTCGTTGAAGAACGGGAAGATCATCGCGAGGACTACCGTCACCACCACGTATGCAGACCTCCAGACAAGCCTGAACAAGTTGACATAGAAGGCCCCGATGAATGGCACGGTGATCGGGTGCTCCCTTGTGATGAACTTGTTTTCGGGCCATTTCTTCTGGCAGTTGCTCTCCACGAAGCTGAATATCGGCTGGCAGAAGACCTGTAGAAAGCAACAAGTTAGTTCTTTCTTATGGTCCGACTGAGGCAGTGTATGGAGAAAATGGTAGAGTAGGGGGATCGAGGAGGGTTTTGTTATACCTGGTAGGCGCCTACGAGGTGAATTGCGATGCAAATGTTGGCGATATCGATCAACCAAAAAGGCTCGTAGAACCCGAACCCTGTTAGGAAATTGCCTGGGGCGTTGTTGCCAAATGCAGCGTAGCCGACACAACCGCACAGGACGTAGAAAACGGTGGTGGTCGTGATCCCTGCAAGACTTGCCCTTTTCATTTCCTTGTTCTCCGGCGGGCTTGATCGCAGGGTGTCCTGCAAACCCAAATCGAGAGTACAACATGTTAGGCTTTCAGAAGATCAAGAGACAAAAACATGTCTAGTTTCTATTGGAGGGAGAGGACGAGTCCAATCCATCGCATTCAAAGGCCCAAACAAAATCCGGCAAAGAAGATGGGCCCACCCAATTTGCTATGGTGGACGGTGCATGGCGAATCTGCTGGTGGCCCATCAAATTCCAAAGGTAAGCTACAAGAGATGCGGCTAAATGCAGGACTCCTACTTTATATAAATGGTCCATCAGTTATCCTTCTTCACGTGATTCACAATCAAGTAGTGGACTACGCGCTACTACAACCATGACGATGATTGAAGATCTGTTGTAATAAAGAGATAGCACAGACGCGTGGCGAGAGGAGGAAACATGACAAAATGGGTTGGGTTGGGTTGGGTTTGGTCCCTCACCCTAGACTTGACGATATGTACGTGGATGGTCACAGTTCATCAAAAAAGCTAGCTTATTAGAAGAAGAAGAAGAAGAAGAAGAAGAAGAAGAAGAAGAAGAAGAAGTAAATCATCTGTTTGATGACAAGTGCAAGTTGTTGACAACTCCCAATCATATACGGCTTCATTTTGTTTCTGGTCCTGGCTCCTCCTCCAGTCTTACCTAAAGAAAGGGATTTCAAAACAATTCTTCCGTTGCTAGGGCTGTAAGTGTAAGTTTGAAGGAAGGTTTCAGAAAAGATTTTGACAGCTAGGCTTTTCGGAAAGTGATTAGGAATATTTTTGACTTTAACTACCTTTAATTTTCCACTGTTATTTTCAACTACCTAGCTAATAACTGTAAGTTTTGAGCTATTTAGGAATATTAGACTTTAACTACACTGCCCACAGATCTTGGGCCGTGAATTCAGCAGGCAGAGGCAGGGAGGGACACTGATAATAAAGTGGGCGGTGAATGCCAAGCAGAGACAGAGAATGGCCATGTCGGTCCATTCATTAAATATGGCGAATGTTAAGGTTGAGGTGGTGGCACTGGCACACATTTCTATATGAGCCCTCGAATCGCTTCTTTTACCATTTGCATTGATCATCCATAATTCTGTATATACCAACTATTTAAATCAACACGTACAAGCAGGTAAATCTTTCGTTCCATCTAGTCTTCCCAATATGTACGACTTTATTTCCTTCCCCAAGCACATGATATATATATCATTCTAATTTTTTTTCAACTCGCTTGTACTTTGCTTTCCATTTTTTGACCTACCTATCCTACAGTACTATGGAGCAGAGGTTGGAGCAAATTTGAAGTCGGAAATTATTGGATGCCTTAGCTAGCTAGCTGGCTAGATGAATGTTAAGTGAGTAGTCCGTTTCTATCCCAATATTAAAGAAATTCTTACTTGGTTAGGTATTTTATTAGGACCACCACACTCATCTTTCACCTTGCATGTCATAATATATCAAAGCAACAAAGGCCAGCTAGCTCACACAAATACAAAAAGGCTTATACACAACGTAACACACGTATATTATATTATATAGAACCCGTTGGAGACAGTAAGGTTAAAGACTTAAGCTTATGCATGAAGTAGGAAGTAGATGAACTTGCCTGGATTTCGATGAGGATAGTGGAGTAGGCATAAGCGAAGGCAATGTCCCCAATGGCTTGGAACGTTCTCCACACTTTCTGCGCCGCCGTCACCTCCACCCCTACCGTCACTCCCGTCAACGTCGTCCGGACTCCCTTCCGGTCGCCTCCTAGAATCCAATAATGGAGTTTTTTAAACAACATTAATTAATTATCATACTAGCTAGCTAGTTACTGATTCGAATTAACCATTACCTGCAACCGTGGCGACGGAGAGGCCCAGCCCAATAATGGAGTAGGCGAAAGACATGACGGCCGCCAGAATGGAGAGCCACGACAGCTTGTGGAAGTTTGGGATCTGGCTAAGCACCAACTGGATGCACCCGAAGATCGCCATGTACGGCGTGTTCGACACGTGGCACTTGTCCGCCCCGTGCCCTTCCTTGTGGAAGCAATTTGATCTCTTCACCGCCCTATAAACAAACAACACCACACGTCACAAAATAAAATAAAAAGAAAAGAAAAATTTTATCAATGGTTGGCAGCTTACACGATGCTGATAGAGGCGGTGATGGTGTAGCCGACGGTGATGCCAACGAGGTTGCCGTACTGGGCCAGGCCGCAGAGCTGGACCTTGCGGCCGCCCAAGTGGGCCCGGACTGCGTCCATGTAGGTGTAGTTGCGGTGGCCCGTTACGGGGTCCGGGGAGCGGTAGGCATCGGCGAGGAGGGTGGAGGTGAAGAAAGTGATGAAGGAGAATGCCATCAGGACGACCGGTCCGGCCACCCAGCCCAATTGCGCTATGGCCCAAGCCAGGGACAACACCCCGGACCCTATCACCGCCGTTATGATGTGCGCGCTCCCCGTCAACCATGTACCTGCAACGTTACGTTTAAAAAAACAAAGTTAATTATTGTTAAGTAAACGTGGCGATTCATTCATTGATAAACAACTAATTATTTACCCGTTCGCTTGGGGCGGCCGTCGTCGTCGAGGGCCTTGCGGGAATCGAATTGGACGGCGCCGTTATTGTTGTTGTTGTTGGTGTAGGCTTCGGGGTCTTGATGGTGGTGGTGGTGTTCTAAGTTCATGGCGGTGCTGGGATTCGACATCTTCTCATACAACCAGTTGCAGCTTTTTCTCTTCTTCTTCTTCTTCTTCTTCTTCTTCTTCTTCTTCCTTTAGTGGTCACCTGGGTTTGAAGGGAGGAGGAGGAGGAGGCAGAGAGTGATGGGAGTTATTATGGTAAAAGGAGCACGGTGGGCAGGGACAGTGAGAGTGAGAGTGAGAGTAAGTGCAATTGGAGGAACGTAACGTGGTGTTATATAGAGAATGAAGGCGAGCTAGCTAGCTCCCAAAATATTTTACAACAACTTTTTAGCATTTCATTTGATTTAAATGAGATAATAATAATAATATGTGTCGTCAATAGTATTGACTAGTTTTTGTGGTCGTGGCACTAACATGTGAAAGATAAAGTTGTTGTTGAAAATGATATTTGATATAACATTTATATTTTGACTAGTTTTGAAAGCAGATATTATATTTTTAAGATTTCGAGCGATTTTAAGTAGAATGGTTTTAAGGAGTTACCTTGATGAAGTTATATTACATGGTTTTGTTGATGTCGACGGTAATTATGTAACTGAAAGTTTGCATGCGGATTTATAATTTTAATTATTTATACACATTATAATTATAAGTGAATCAAAGTGATAACAACAAAATTATTACAAATAAATTATATTGATAAGAATTATTTAAGTAGGTGTTTTTTTTTTTGTTTTCATTAGAACAATGGTGTCCATAACTAATCATTTAAAGACAAAATCCAAGATTACTTAAGAATATCCCTGGGCGGTAGAATTTCAAAACTCACTAATTAACGAGCCTTGATTACGGTAGGTAGGCTAGCAGTCAAACTTGAAAAGGCACGCAGGCATCCATGCCATGTGATTCTTCTCCACAACCTTATTAGCTGATTGCCACGTACCCGACCAAAACAACCAATTTACTGTTTTCCTTATTAATTAAGATCAAAGCATTATTGGTTTAAAGGATACGTAACACAGTTTATAACTGCGAATTGTTTGGAGTCAATCTCAGCTTTGTGACTACTCCACCTGCTATTTCTCGTTCCTTTAATTTTGTGGCAGTTAATTTATTGAATTTTGCTACGGTGACATGTATGTCACCGTGACATGGACTTTTCGGTCGACCTAATCTTAAAGGCGGTCGACCGAATTGACTAATTTGGGCAGCACGAGAAAGCATTGCAGTCGACCTAATCCTAAAGGCGGTCGACTTCAATTCATAGCATAATTGATGAGTCCTTGTTATCATTATTTATGACTAGTTATGATGGTTTAAAGTGTAATTTAGACGAGTAAAAGAACCACACAAATCGGCATACATAAGCAAAAAAAGACACGGGGCATAGGTTGACTTTCTTGTATTCGGTCGACCTCGTACCGGATTAGGTCGACCTCGACACCAACACTTGATCTTCATTTTACGTCAAACGATTGGATAAATTGATAGAACACTTATCGTCTATCTAGTTGACCTCTTTCTTTATCTGGTCGACCATGTTGTTAATGACTGCCATCAAGTGGTCGACCTATATACCTTTACGGCCGACCATGTTGTTTCTGACGCCAACGAAATGGCCGACCGAGGTTTATTCTGGTCAACCAAAAATAACAACTTAAACTAAGAACGGTCGACCAGGTGGTCTTTGAGGGCGACCGCAATGCTTTCTTGTGCTGCCCAAATTAGTCAATTCGGTCGACCGCCTTCAGGATTAGGTCGACCGAAAAGTCCATGTCATGGTGACATGCATGTCATAGTAGGCATACCCTAATTTATTTCTAATCAAAGAAAACTAAAGGGTGGCCCATAAAAATTTTAAATAAAGGGTGCAAATTTTTATTTAATATCAACAAATTTGATGTTCTGTATTGCTCTCGAGTCTCGAGTTCAAGTTTAATCCTCAAAGCCTATATTATTCTGGAGATTCTATTTAAGACTACTGACAAAGTTATATAAACTGGAATTGCCCGTTCTTAATTATTAGCTTTCCAAATATTTCTGGGAACCAGACTAGGCAAGGACCTTTTTTTTTTGTGTGGTCATAAACAAAAATGGAAGAAAAGTGGGGAGTTGAGACATAGCATGCTTGCTGCTGCCGCAGCCCTCGTGGGTTGGGGAGGATGATATTGATATGTCATATTATCGTATCTATGAATTCCACCTTTCATAACAGCATGTTCATCAGTCTCCAACTTATTTATTGAAATGATTAAGATGCACATGCGTGTTGCATACCTATGATACCATGGAATGCCGGGTTGTGTTATTTGTAGTCCTATCATATGCAGTGGTTTGGACGAGGAATTTAACGGATTAATTTGATCTAATTGTTTTGTTTTGTTTTGTTTGTTTTGAAACAATCGGTTCAAATTTATTCATTTGACAACACATAATTTAGATGAAGCAATTCTGCCCGGGAGAATTGACACATGTTGAGGCAATTACAATTATCTGAGGCGGGAGCAGATAATTCGAACTGACTCGTTTTAAATGACTCATTTTATAAAGTGAGGCAATTACATTTTATTTGTTGTTAATACTTAATCTGGTATAACATTTTCTAAAAAAAGATCATTCCAAACCTAAAATTAAGAATTCCAAAATTTTATGAATGTTCAAAATGATAGGCAGGTTTTAACGGACTTTTTGGTTGACCATAAATTCTAACAATCAACCTTTTTAGGGGTCGGTTAGCATGCTAACCCCCCTTAGAGGTTGGAAAAATGACACCCCCTAGTATATTAAATACAACTATAGAATTTAATACACACATTAAATACACATTAGGAATTAAATGTACCATATTAATTAGGAATTCTCTCACTATTAAATACACATTAGGAATTAACTACGCACATTAAATACACATTAGGAATTCTCTCACTATATTTGATTTTTCCTTTTTCAGCAGTCTCCGACCACCAGACTTCCTCCGACCGCCACACTTCTCCGGTGAAAATCCCATCGGCAGACTCCCTCCGACCACCTCCAAAAAATATAGCACTGCACTGATACGGTGTACCACTGTACTGGTAGATATACCACTGCACTGATACGTTGTACCACTGTACTGGTAGATATACCACTGCACTGGTAGCGATATCAGTGCACTGGTAGCAATGTCATATCTGAGTATCAGTGCAGTGGTACAAATACCAGTAAAGTGGTAATTAATGTGGTGTATTTAATGCTTACTTTGTATTTAATAACAGAACATTTATTATGTTTACTTTCATTAATACTTGTCAATAATTAATAAAAAATTGACCAATTAAAAGGGGGTGTCAAAAAACCAACTCCTTAAGGGGTTAGCATGCTAACCCATCCCACCTTTTTAGCATAGTGCGTTATGGCACCTGCTAATGTGGATAACACAACTTTGCCTTGCATTTAAAACTCTCACTTTTGGTCTTATAATAATATTATAGAGCCATAAGTTTTTTTCTTTTTTATTTAATACTTCACATACTAAACACGTATAAAGTGTATAATAAATATATTTTACAATTTGAATTGATCATTTAATAAATTTTATAGATAATATATAATTTATTTGCCAAATCTTTCAAACTTTTCAAATTATTTGCGAACCTTTCAAAATACAAAATTTTAGCCAAATATTTTTTTTATAATGGTGAAATAAATTAAATCAAATCAAAGGAACAAACTAACAATCCGAAAAACCAAAAGCAGCAAGCAGCAGACACAGGTCGCAACAGCTGAAAAACACAACCAGCAGCTCGCAGGCGCGACATATGAAAGAAACCAAGAGGAGCCAGGGAAAGAAAAGAAAAGAAAAGAAAGAGAGGGCAAGCTGACAAGAGCAAAACGGCAATCAGAACATCACGAAGCCGGGCAGCAAAACACCAGCAACACAACAGACAGATCCTCATCAGAGAGACAAACAGCAACTGACAAAAGGTCATGAATGCAACAGATTATTGGCAGCTGGGGCAACTGGGGCAACAATGTCATCAAACTCCACCGCGTCGCTCGGCAGGGTAGGCTCATCAACACGTCCAGGACATAGGCGACTCTTGACGGCACGCAACCAGAAGTTGGCGATCTCCCTATCAACAATCTGGGTAGCGCTCAGCCAATCAACGATGCAGCGGGTAATCTGAAAGGCGACAACCTGAGCAGACACCACCACCATTTACACAACATAAACTGATTATGGAGCCTCGGGTCAGAAATACCTAAGCCTCCTAAGCGTTTTGGAGCCTTGCACACATCCCAGGAAACAAGATGAAATCTTCTCTCACCCTGACGTCCAGACCAAACAAAATCCCGCTGCAGCTTCTCAAACTTATCAATGATCGAACACGGAGCAGAGAAAAGACTGAACATGTAGATAGGTTAACTTGCTAAAATTGCATTACCTAAAGTGATACGCCCAGCCAAAGAAAGATAAGAAGCCCACCATACCTCCAACCGCCGACCTATTTTACTCAGAAGAGGAAGTTGGGGACTCACCAAGCGGAAGCCCAAGGTACTCCGTGGGGAGATACATCCACTCACAACCAACAATCTCCGCAAATCTATCCAAACACTCAACCTCACCCATCGGGAAAAGCTTACTCTTCTCAAAATTCACCTTAAGACCAGTGATGCTTTGAAACCACAAGAGGGCACCAGTCAAGTGAAAGACCTCCACCTCTGAAGCATCACAAAAGATAATTGCATCATCCGCATACAATAAATGGCCCACTTCTCCTGTTCTATTCTGCTCATCCATACAGAAACCAGTAATGAGACGAGCCTCCCTAGCCTCGTCCAAGATAAAGGACAGGATGTCCATGACAATTATAATAGCCAAATGTTAACTTCGCTTAAGCAACTTTGTTATCAATATTAACTTGATAACACGATAGTGACTTGGAAGAGATACATGACGGTAAACATTCCAAATTTTTGCATTTTAAATAAGAAACGAGTTACAAAATTACTAATAATACCAGACAAACGATTTGACTAATAAATTGGAACATTTGGTTAATAATTTGTATGTTTGAAAGGTTTAACCAAAAAATTATATTTACACAATTTTATATTTATGTTCACCTTAAATTATAGATTTCTAGTATTCATAGCTGAATGTCAAAGTTTTAAACATACTCTTATGTTAAAATGATATACAGAACTCCATATCTATAAATATTGCAACTTACCCATACAATATATTACTAATGGTAATCACATCACCCAATAAAATTGTCTTTCAAAAATTTTGTTAATAATTTTAAGTGAATGAAATAAACATTTTTCTTATAAAAAACAATCTTGCCAAATACCAAAGTGGTAAAATCTTTTTTCTCTCATCAATTGAGTGAAACCAATGCAGTCAAAATCGCGCTTTAAAACTTAAAAATTTACGATTTTACGCTTTTAGGTCACAAAAACGCTTTCATTTCCATATAAAAACTTAAGTGTATAAAATCGGACTAAATTGCGCTTTAAAGCTTAAAAGCTAACGGTTTTACGCTTCTAGTTCACCAAAACGCTTTACGTTTTTACGCTTTTAGTTCACTAAATAAGTATTCTTTTCATGAAATTAATTATAAAAAGTATATTTTAAAAGTAAATCACCAACAATATGATACATTTGAGATTAGAAGATACATATCAGGTACGTGGATGCATTCTCAACTTCAATAGAGTAATATAATTCGCCAGCTAGGTTTTTCCCAAATTCATTAGCATAGAGGGAAAAGTGGCTTATTGTTAAAATTTATGTTAACGAACTTATTATTAAGATGCTATAAGTTGTTCTACTTTAGGCATGAATCACATATATTTATTAACTTATCTATGCATTCATATTTTGCATAGCATATGTCCTAATTAATAGATTTTTAGTTATTTTTCAGTATGCGTCAAAAACTTACGCTTTTACGCTTTGATTCTACGCTTTACGATTTTAGCCCTTTTCCGCTTCTAGGTAGAATCACGCTTTTGACTGCATTGAGTGAAACAACCCAAATAAAAAGCCAAGTTTAATGAGATTATTATCATATATGAAGATAAAATTCTTAGTGAACAGTATAAGAGTTTAGCTTTATATATAAGACTAGGTGGCGATGTCGCGCCTTGTCGCGGACAGAGATGGCCTATGGGCATGTATATGTGGCCCGCTATGGTGCTTTGTTAGTAATATTAGCCTAAAATTAGTTTTTGTTAGCGGTTTTGTTACTAATATTGACTTGACAATATGATATTGACTGAGAATAAATATATGGCGGTCAACTCCAATTTGAAAACTTTTGAAAATTTTGGCTAGTAAATGAGATTTACCTAAACCCAAGTAGACCCATTGATTATGGGTAGGGTACGGGTGACGTATATATGAGTTTGGAAGTTTGTAGATGGGTTTCGGCATGATATGGATATTTAGTTCCATAATCTAAATGTGTATAAGTTGGGTATGGATACCCATTTATTCAAAGGTGTTTTAATTACACATACAAAAATTAGACCCATTTGCAGAACTTCAAAAGTTTAGGTACCAAAATGTAATACACAAAAGGTTTAAGTAATAAAATTTAATGTTCAATCAATATTTTGCAGTGTTATTAAAGCCGAGCCGAGCCGCTCGCCCAACTGGTAAAACCGCCACCCGGTCACAAAATTGGCTCGGAACAGTCTAAAAGTCGCTCCGGTTTTATGTAGTGGTTGACGAGCGGTTGAGGCGGTTAACCGCTCGAGCCGATCGAGCCGCTCGCACGGTTTTTGCCATTCAGCCGTTAAATTTAATTAAAAAAATTGCATAAAATTCAAAATTGAAATAAACCAAAAACGTCGGGCCTCAAACTAAATCCTTATTTCCATTGCACAATTTCAAAGGAAAGAGATGAGCTCTAATTAAGAAATGTCCACTATTTATACTGATAATGTTTATTAGGTACCGGTTCTCTAACGGTTTTTAAACGGTCTAATGCCGGTTGGACCACTAAAGTGCGAGCCGTTCGCATTACCGGGTCACGCTCCGGTTTGGTTCTGAAAACATTGATATTTTGAGGACTTATATGCCAAAAAATAAATTTAGGTTATAAATCTAAAGATCTATTAAGTTTAGGTACAAAACTGTAATTTGCATAGTTGAGGCTTAATTCCTTTTATGGTGATGTATTTAAAATGATAATTATTTACTTTGTATTGAACAATGGAAACTATTTATTTGATATGTGTAGATACCTAGCTAAACATTCCATGTATAATTGTTGAAAATTCTAGCCCGGGTGAAAAGCAAAATTCTAGAGAGAAGCAAAAGGAATACAAACTGGAACTCGCTTAAAATTTCACGCCTTCAAATCCCATAATGAAAATGATGACTTTCTAATAATTAATAACCATATATATTTATTTATTTTTAATTGGACTTGACATTGAGCTGAAAAAGTTAGTGGTTCATGGTTTAATTATTAGTTCTCTAGACTATTGATGAGTCGTGTATGGACCCGTTCATACTTGTGATTAGAATACATAAAAATAGTATACTAATTAGGGTTAGACGAAGAAGGCAAAGAAAGAAATAAAGAAAGGGTTATGGAAGGCGAGTAAAAAATGAAACGAAGGGGAAGTAGATGATGGAAAGGTTTTGACCAATTCTTTTAGTTGGGCGTCAATACAACAGTCAACCCTTTCACCATAGCAAGTTATTGACACTTGCTTATGTAGATGTCACATTTTTTTGTCACATGTAGTTAGTATGAGTTTGTTTAGTACCCCGTAAGTAAATGTATTAAATGAGTCTATAAATTCGCTCTTGCAATATTTTAGAGTCGTCTCTATTTTATCATTTATTTAATGTTTCACGTGATGAGCAAATATAAAATGGTCGAATCTTCTCCCCGAGTTGAGTGATACAACATCTTGTATGGTAGAAACTAAATTTATACTTTTGCGTTATGGTGGATTGGATTCATAGATTGGTTCAAAAGGATTGGTGGATTGGATTCATAGATTTAAGTGAAATCTAAACATTGGACCAATATGTAAATTTAAAAAGATGTAGGTACTAAAATCTCATAAAATTTAGATACTAAAACATAATTGTTCAATGATTTTACATTAAAATTAAATTTGGGTATCAAAATGTAAACTGTACATTATAGTCACTAAGTTGTGATTTAATTAAATTTGGGTATAAAATATAAATGTTAACCTGACTTTGGCTTTATATATTAATAAAATGTATAAGTTGTGATTTAATTAAACAGAACGCCGTTGATGGCGTGTAGTGTAGTGGGGGGAAGTTGTAGTAGTGTTGGATCACTGTACATATGGTCGGTCTCATCTCATCAAATGAACATATATCGGGTCCACTCTCATGCGGCATTCGGCTTCTTCCTTTTCTCCCATGAAAAGGTGGAGGCAGCCGGGCATGCAGATTGCAGGGCATGTGGCTTTCATAGAGTCCGTTCTGTTCCATCCATCCATATCTCACTGAGTTCATCATCATCGACCATTTGCTTGAAAGCCCTCACTGGGCTACTCTTCTTTTCTTTTTGTGGCGGCTAGACCCGACAACAACGACATACAGATGTATCAAATTTTGGGCCAACTCAATGGATAGGTGTAGCTAAGTGTTATCTGACTACCCCTTTATTGGGCTCAATCATATGGAAATAAGATTCCAGCTGAGAGTACGTAGCCAACTTGGGGAGGAATTACTTTGCGATTGGAGAAATGGGAACTTATTTGTGTGTTGGTATGAGTTTCCACAACCAATCAACCATAGACCATATCTACACGGTAAACACACCACCATTTTTGCTAGCTTCGGTCACTACTGTTTTTACGGATCGGAAAATCGGCGGATCGACAAAACAAGAAAAACAAAAACAAGAAACGAACTAAACACACGGATTTACGTGGTTCACTAACACTATTTGTATTAGCTAGTTCACGGGCATGAGAGAGTTAGTTTTACTATCCTTCAAAGATATACATATTGAATAAGAGTGTGAAAAGTATTTATAGTAACGAGACCCCGTAACCTTCAATTGTAGCCAAATAGTCCAATTCAACTCATATCAATACCTTCATTTTGCGAATGTTTCCGAAGAAATGAGCAGCTAATTTTTGTCATGTTGCGGGGATTATTAGGGGTAGCTATGGGTGTTTACTTCCTTTATTTTTGTGCGTCTCATACTCTCATCCCCACTTTCCTATACGTCACTCTAAAGAATTACGTGAAAAATGTCAAATTATTGTTAAACCGGAGGTAAACAAGGTTTGAACCAATCCATCTTGGTCAGCTTATGGGTTAAATGCACGTACCATTCCTCACTTAAGTATAAAAATGTTGCACACTAACCACTTAAGTTATTTTTGTTGCAACTAAACTACGTAAGTCGAATTATGGTTGCAACTAAATAATATAAATCAACTTTTAGGTTGTATCATCATAATTTCCATCCAAAAACATAACGGAAGGTACCAAATTGTAATTTTTATTCTACCATTTTAGAGAGAATAAAACATTATAATCATTTTGCACAAAAGCTAAATTTATATGACATTTTGGAAAATTACGTCTTCCCCATCTCTCCTCTTTTGTTTCTCATCCCTTCATCGAAATCTTACACTCTCGAAAACAATGTGTCGTCAAGATGTACATATCCATCTGCGACTTCGTTTGCTGGCTCATCGATTCCATAATATACACATTAAAATCCGCCAGCTCATTCTCCACAACTTCCCCTGTTGGTTCTCTTCATTCGGTGGTTGGGGTATGCATCTTCTCTGTTAAAGCTTGGAATTGTGATTTACATTGAGTAGGATACAGGGATTAAATACCCACTCTAACAGATACAACAAACCCACGTAGTCTAAATTATACTACTGGCAATATAAAAGGATGGTTGGGATAATAATCTATAAATTTTAAATTAATATTAATAAAATGAAAAATTGACAAAAAAAAAATGAAATGGGTACTAAGAATAAATGATTTCTGTGAGCAGGTTTCTAAGAATTATTTTTTTTGTTCGATGGACCGAGAACCGGAAAGATTAAGTTCCAAAAAACAAACAATAATGAAGAAAGGAAAATTATCGAATTTTTTTATTTTCTTTTCATTTTTTTAGGGCTATACGGGCTCGAACCGTAGACCTTCTCGGTAAAACAGCTCAAACTAATTATTATCAAAATGATTCGAACTGTTTCAAAGACCCAATGCAAAAGGGGAACAACATAACCACTAATGACAATAATTAAATAAATAAATTAAACTAAAGTAGTATCCTTATCACGTACCCGCAAGACGGTGGCGGGTACAACACCGATCTTGGACCGAAGAAGCTGGAAGCGAGTGATTGGGAGCAGCTTGGTGAGAGAATCCGCCAATTGATGAGTCGTAGGTATGTGGCGAACATGAAGAGCTGTAGCTTGGGCAAGATCACGTACGAAAAGGTAATCGAGCGCCAAGTGCTTCATGCGGGAATGATGGATGGGATTGCAGGCGAAGTTGACCACACTAAGGTTGTCACAATAGAGAACTGGCGGAGAAGAGGTGGGACGATGAAGCTCACGAAGAAGACTTTGGACCCACAATAGGTCAGATGTAGCATGAGCAAGAGCACGATATTCAGCCTCCATACTGGAGCAGGCAACGGAGTGCTGCTTATTCGATTTCCATGAGTAGTAGATGAGAAAAGCCATGATAGAGGTGCGATCATCGGAATCACCAGCCCAGTCCGAGTCAGCAAAGGCAATAAGATCAGTAGACGTCGCTGGAGCGATTTGAAGACTGTGAGAGGGAGTACCTTTTTGATAACGGAGAAGGCGCTTGACATGTTGCCAATGGTGACATGCATAAACTGAGACAGTTTGTTGACGGCGAAAGCAATGTCTGGGCCGATGCATAGGAGATATTGTAAGGATCCAAGAGCTTGCTTCTACATAGTGGAATCGGTCAGGGGAGAGACATCAACAAGGCAAAGCTTTGCCATTGAGGAAAGAGGGGTCGACGCGGATTGAGAGCCATGCATGCCAAAACGTTGAAGTAAATCCAACACATACTTGTGTTGGGAAATGATATATCCAGCATCTATGGGACGAACTTCAATCCCTTAGGAAATAGTGCACTGAACCAAGACTCTTGAGAGAGAAGCGAGAAGCTAGCTGAGATTGAAATGGAGTGAGAATCAGCCCATGATTGCCTGTCAAAAGAAAATCATCCATGTAGATGAGAAAATATAGAGTGGCATCCCGATGATTATAGATAAATAAGGAAGCGTCAGACTTGAGTTTGACAAATCCATCGTGCTCGAGAAACCGGGACAACTCCATGTACCAGGATCGGGGAGCTTGGCGAAGACAATTAATCGCCCGAGAGAGACAAAAAACATAATCAGGATGAGCAATATCGCGAAAGCCAGGAGGCTGCGACATGTATGCAGTCTCCTGCAAAGAACCCTGTAGGAAAGCATTGTTGACATCAAATTGCAAGATAGGCCACTGATGGGAGAGAGCAATGGTGAAGACAGTACGAATGGTGACCGGTTTTAGCACTGGACTACAGGTCTCATGAAAATCAATGTCCGGATGCTGAGTGAAGCCCTTCGCAACTAGAGCTCTCAAAATTGAACCATATCCGACTAACCCACCCAACCCACCCGACCCACAACCCGTCTGTAATCCGATTTGACAAAAAGTCAACCACCCGAAGCCCGCCCGTAACCCGAAACCAATTGACCCGTAATCCGATCAACCCATAACTCGATGAAATCATTATCCGATCCAACCCATAACCCGACCTATCTATAACCCGAATGATTCATAACCCAAATAACCCGAAGCCGAACCGAACCCAACTTGAATAACCCGAATAACCCATTTGACCCGAATGCGTGTACAAAAATTCAATATATACATTATTGTATTTTTAAATTTATCAAGAAAGAACTGATGTTCTCATAATAATTGAAAATTATTTGTAGAATTGATGGTATTAATTGAGGTTTTTTCTTAAATAATTAATTTTTAAAATAATAATATGTGAAATATCTTTTCATTCTTTTTTTATTTTATGAAATTCAAAGGATAAATTTTTGAAGATAATAGGAAGAGTTAGACACAAATTTGTATCTCCATCACCCATAACTATATTAAAAAAATCAACCCTTGAAAATCAATGAAATCCCCAAATCAATGATCCCTATCAAGATATATAATTGGATAGTTTACCCTTTTTACTTCATTCTCAACTTTTTACTGATTTTATTTATTTTTTATAAATTAATAAATTGACGATTCGAAATAGATGATAATATCATATTTGAGCGAACCGTTGTTCGACCCATGAGTTTTAGGATGAGATGTTACCGTGAATATATAAAAAATTGTGAAGATATATAAGTGGGTGATTCGGAATGATGTTCATAAGTCTTAGTGGAAAATGAAGAGACACACATCTAGTCCATACTATATTTAACTAAGAGGATTCATTTCGAGATGTATAAGCATATAGTCTACCGTTTTTTACTTCATTCTCAAATTTTTACTGATTTAATTTTTTTTATAAATTAATAAAATAAGTGAAGTTACAATCTCTCACCATAAACAAAAAAATTATAACCAACAACAAAGCTTTTATATACACTATTTTATTTATATTTAGTTATTATACTAACATAATGGATATTTAATTTGTATGTGTAAAATATTATCATATTATCATTTTCTTAAATTTTGTATCATTACCTACAATTTATATTCATATATTGATAGTTTGTAAGACATTATTTTCTGTCAAGAAGTAAATGATCCAATGGGTTGACCCGAATAACCTATAATCCGACCTGACCGAACCCGAATTAACCCGCAATACAATAAACCCGTAAATTGATGCACCCGTAACCCGACCCGATCCGTAACCCAATTGATCAGTGACCTGATTGACTCGTAACCCAATTGACCTGCAACCAAATTAAACCCGATCCAAATTGAAACCGACCCGATTGAAATCGCAACCCGATTTAGCCGAACCCGGTTAGACCCAATCCGAACCCGACCCAACCCGCCCAATTGACACCTCTATTCGCAACCAACCGGGCCTTGAAGCGATCAACAGAACCATCCGGGTATCGTTTGAGACGAAAAACCCAACGTGAGTCGACAATGTTGTGGCCGGAAGGACGACGAACCAAAGTCCATGTGCTTTTGGAGAGCAAGGCCTGGAATTCTTGTAGCGGCACACCAGTGCAGGTCAGCAAGAGCTTGGCGAAGATCATGAGGCTCAATATCAAAAGAGTCAATCTGTGAAAGAAAAAGTTTCTTGGGGCGAAAGATATCGTGTTGACTGCGAGTAACAGGGCGGTGTGGGGACTTTACCTGTGGCGGTGGAGGCTGACTTTGTCGAGAGGAAGAAGCCACTGGAGGCAACCTCGAAGGAGAAGGGGAATACTGTCTATGAGCGCCCGGTGATGGTGAAGTGGCAGCTGAAGTGTGGACAGGTGGCGACTACAAGGAGACCGACGGGAGGGAGAGAACTGTGACAGGGGGAGTAGTAGAAGCAATTCATGTGAGTGGGTCATAGGAGGGGTTGAGTGGAGAGATGCTATTGGGAGAAGAAGAAGTGATGCCTGGAAAATGTGCTCTTCAAAATGCACATGTCGTGAGGTGAAAAGTCGGTGGTGGAGGAAATCATAATAGTATGCACCTTGAGAGGTGGAGTAACCAAGGAACACACAGCGATGAGAGTGCCGGGGGGGGGGGGGGGGGGAATACGGACGTAACCATGGGTAGCATGCACAATCAAAGATACGAAGCTTGCTATAGTTGGGTGTCTCATTGAATAAGGAAAAATAAGGAGTGGCACCATCAGGGAAGAAGATGGTAGACGATTGATAATATATGCGCCATTTTGGAAAGCATGAGTCCAAAACTGAAGAGGTAATGATGCAGTATGTAGAAGGGTAAGACATGTTTCAACAATGTGACGATGTTTTGTTTCGGCTAGGGAATTGTGTTGAGGAGTGTAAGGAGGCATCAAAAGATGGGCGATCCCATGTGTTTGGAGGAAGGAACACCATTTCTGAAATTCACCACCACCATCACTATAGACCCGACGAATAGTGGTATGGAATAAATTCTCAATCATTGCCTTATACATCGTGAAAACAAGGTGCACATCATATTTGCAAACAAGAGGATAAAACCATGTATAACGAGTAAAATGATCCACAATTACCAAATAATAGGAAAAATTGTCATGTGAAATAATAGGAGAAGCCCCCCATACATCCATATATAACAAGTCAAAAGGACGTGAACTTGTCAGACTTGAAACGACAAAGGGAAGTTTATAGGATTTATGCAAAGAGAAAGAGTCACACGAGGAAGGAGAAGACAATGAAGTTACATGCAAAGAATTATTACGGAGAACACGGGAAAGAATCTTGAAATTAGGATGACCCAGACATTGATGCCACACAGCAGAAGACAATCGAGAAGCAGACAAGGCGAGCCAAACTAGAGCAGCCAACAATGGAGAAAGACAAATTAAGAAGAATTGACAATATGAGTAATCTGCAGACCTAACCCATCGCCGATAATAATCTCATCCGGGCCATTATAATCTTTGTAGAGAGAGAGGTTCCCGAGATCACGATTCATGTGGTTGGTGGCAGCCGAATCAACGAGCCTACCAGCAGAGTTGGAGGGAGCAGCAGTGTTGTGATAAGCCTGGGGACGACCCCGAATGCGAAAGCATTCCTTTGTAGAGGGGCCGGGGAGATCAGAAAACTGACAAAAGACTTGCGGACGACCCATAATATAAGGGGCATGAGAATTACCAGAGCAACCAGAAGAAGAGCCCGACGGAGAATAGCTTCGGTTGGATCGTGGGCTAGGGTCGCAGTGGGCAGGAGAAGAACCACCACGATGACCACCAGAAGGACGAGAGGATAGACCCGATGATCCTTGGCGACCACGATTGGAGAAGAAAGCAGTAGTGAGAGTTTGTGGCTGATTGAAACGTACCGCCGTGTGGTCGGCCTCGAAGTCGACAAGGCGATCATGGAGATCTTCGAAGCGGTGGTGTCTCGCGCTCGAATCGCATATGGGATTTGGCCATATTCCTCAGGAAGTCCACGAAGAACATAAAGAATGAGATCTTCATTCGAAACAGGATCATTGATTAGGGCCAGCTCGGCGGCAGTGGTGCTCATGGCCTGTAGATAAAAAGCAACAAGACGGTTGCTAAGAGCCTCACTACCAAGCTTCTCTTTGAGACGAATGATATGTTGAAGAGATTGGCTAGCAAACATCTTTTCAAAATTGTCCAAGCTTCATGAGAGGATGCGGATGATGACACATAGGGAGGAGAAGCTGATCTTGCCCGAACCAATGAGTACGCTCTGCGGCAGGAGCAGTGGCTGCCTGGGCTGGATGTGTGTCGTCGAGAAATTTCAGAAGATCGAGGCCACGAAGAAGAGTGAGAAGTTGTGTCCTCCAGGTTGGAAAATTATCACTGTTAACCTTGGTGGGAAGCTAAGAAGTAGGATTGAGCGTGATGATGCTGTTCTTGTCATTGATATTAATCACTATTTCACCGGACATAGTTTCATCGTGAAAGAGAAGAAAAGGTTATAATAGAGAAAGAAAACGTTTGGGACTGCTGTAAAAGCTCGCCGTAGGAGAGGCCAAAGATCAAAATAGCGAAGTTTGGAATTTTGATGGAGAGAAAGAAGGAAAGGAAGATTTAGTGGTTAAGGAGATCGGAGCTTAGCTTTGATACAATGTTAAGGCTTGCAATTATGATTTACATTGAGTAGGATAGAGGGATTAAATACCCACTCTAACATATACAACAACCCCGCATAGCCTACAATAGGGGAACAACTTAACAACTAATGACTCCACTAATGATAATAATCAAATAAATAAAATTAAACTAAACTAGTATCCGATCATCTTCTTCATAAGTTGGTTTTCAGCAGTAGAGGAAGCGCCACGTACTCGAACAACAAATCATTGACCCCATCATTGATGATCTTTATTTATGCTAGAGCATCATCATAATATGTCTTAGAGAAGCTGAACTAGACCAGCTTGATCATCTTAAATTGAGGATACATAGCTAAAACGTAACCAAACTGCAATCTTTGATATATTTCTCGATCTTATCATGCAGTCCTTTGATGAAGTTGTTGATGAAGGATCACCATTAGCAGCAAGTCGAGAGAGCTCGACTTGAATCTTCTAGGCTTCATGGAAGAAAGTGATTACAATTGGGTTCATTGAGGACGAGAGAAGGTTATTAGCTGCATCCACTAGATATTTCAGGGTTGAGCAAATTAAATCTTTTTTAACTTGCTTACCACCCAATATTAATAGTACTTCCTTGTAGTGAGGCTCAAAGGTATGCAAGCATAAAAATACGCCTTTCAATTCTGAAGCAGCTAGAAGCATTTCCCACATTGTGTTCCACTGAGCCTGGTCGTGGTGTCAGAGGTTTTGTCCGTTGGGAGTGTTGATGCTATTTGAGCACAAGAAACTCTCCTTGCAGTACGAGGAACGAAGGAGAAGCAGAAGAGGATTTTATTTAATCCGGAAAAATGCAGACTGTTCCAAGTATTAAGGTCTTCGCCATCCGTTTTCCAGCAATCTCGTCGGAGGGTTTTTTATTCCGGTTCTCGTTGGAATCTGTTAATGTCACGTCCTCCAGTTTTTGTGGAGCTTTGGCCGTTGTGCCAATCACGCGCAATTGGCGCGATTCCCCCATTGCTACCCGCCTGATTGTTAATCGACGGTTGCACTGGCATCTTTTATCTATCCCCAATGTTCCTTGTTGCTGTGCTGAAGTTATCACCACTTTGCAAGACGGTTTCATGGCGGTTCTCATCTGGGGTGGTTATTTTTTCATCGTTATCGCCTGCGACTGGGTTTTATTTAATCACTTCTTTCGTTATCTTCGTCTGTATGACGCTCTTTCCCCCATTTTCCCCTTCTATGCGATTATGGCTTCCTCTAGTACTAAACACACTGCTGCTGACTTGGTGGTTCGTGTTTCAGGGGTTGACAATTCGGCGGCCGAGGAACGTAAAAAACTGAGTTTGGTTGCTCATATTTTTTATCCCAATCCTCCAAATCGACTGGTCATTCAGAAGATCCTCACTCGACTCTGGGGGTTGTCTGTCTCTCTTTTGGTGTATGACGCTGGGCACGGCCTTTATCAATTTTTGTTTGCGGCTGTTGCGGATCGGAAAAGGGTCCTGGACAATCAACCATGGCCTTTCAAGAAATTTCTGATGCATGTCCTGCCGTGGGAAACTCCCTCTCTGGAGCTGTTCAACCGCATGACGTTTATGCCATTATGGATTCAACTCCGTAGTCATTCCAAAGCCTGGCATGACAACTGTACTCCGAAGTTCGGGCACGAACTAGTGGCTCCATTGGGTGATGTTCAGGAAGTTGGGCTCTATGGAACTCGGACAGATGCAGGCTTTTTCCTGAAGGCAAAGGTCTCCATTGACGTCACCAAGCCATTCTGGGGACGAGTGCAGGCGGTCCTGGACGACGGCGCTCGTTTTTTGGTATATCTGTGCTACGAGCGCCTCCCTCCTGTCTGCTTCCGCTGTGGATTGTTTGGTCACGGCCAGGCTACTTGCCCTCATCGTGACACTCTTCCTTATAACTCGGGGGCACGGGGACGGTGGATGTCGGCTAACCCAGAGGGTACCCGACTTGATGCTACCACTATGCGGCCAGCCAATTTCTATCGTGAGGCTGCCTGGCGTGCGGCAGATGCCATTCCCCCATTGGAATCCAGTTTGGAGGATTTACATCTCACCATCACTCCTAAGACGGAGATCCTTCTGGCCCTGCCCGCTACTGGTCCTACTTCGGCAGGCTATTCCCATCGCATTCCAGGAGGGAACTCACCTGGCTCAGCAGGCTCTACCACTATCTCGTCACCATGTGCGAATCCTTGTATTCCTTCACCACCGAGACTAACCGAGAAGGCTCGAGGTAAGCAACCGATGGTGGAAGTTGACCCACCACTACCACCTCGGAAGCTTAAGTCTTTTCGTATAGGACTCTCTGAAGAGGATCTACTTGTTGATCGCAAACGCACTTCACTGGAGGCGGAATTGGTCACTACGCAGCCGCCGATTGGGAAGAAAGCACGTCGAGTGTTGGAGTTTTCGGATGCTGTTCAAGAGGCTTGTGATTATCTCACGGAGGCTTTTGGTCTGTTGCTACTGGATTTTCCTGGGGTCAAATATGATCCGGTCCTGGACATTATGGATCAACCTCGTCAAGAGTTGAATGAGGTCATTCTTGGTCCAACTATCTTGCCGTTGGGCCCATTCCCACCAATGCTACCTGCTCCATCTTGGGATGTCAATGAGACTATGGCAATTGTCCCTGCTACTACCAAATTGGAAGGCCTGGAGCTGCTCGAGCCCTCTTCTCCTCAGTCGGGCGGTTCTGCCTCTGTTGCTGTCGTGGATCCGCCAAAGGAGACTGCTGCGGTTGAGTCGCTTACCCCTGAAGACATTGATCCTATCACTGCTCCTGTGGTGGAGGTGACCAGCCCGGATTGGTCACCGATCATTAAGTGACGCTTTTGAGTTGGAATTGTCAAGGGTTGGGAGGTACCTTGACATTCCGTGAACTCCAACGTGTTATTCGTAGTAATAAATCTATGTTTGTTTTCTTAAGTGAAGTTAAGGTATCTATGTCTAGGTGTGAAAATATTATTTCGCGGTTGGGATTTAGAAATCCTTGTATTGTACCCCCTAGCGCGACGTCGGGAGGGGGTTTAGCTTTTATGTGGCACTCTACTATGCGGGTCACTATTCTTGATAGCTCGCCCACGTTTATTGCATTTAGGTGGGATGTTTCTCTAAATAAAAGTGTGGTTCTTGTTGGTGTGTACTTATCTTGCGATCTTGTAATTCATATTACGCAAATTCAGGCTTTGTTTACTTTCTTACGTTCTTTAAACCTCCCATATATATTATTTGGTGATTTTAATACTATTTTGTCGAGTAATGAAAAAAGGGCAGCGAGCGTTTTGACTCCAGGTCTGCTACTCCTCTTCGCGATTTTATTGATGACTTTGGTTTACTAGACATAGGCTTCCATGGGCATCCTTTTATGGCTCCAATCATGGTACGGGGACCTCTCTAATTGAAACAAGGCTGGATAGATTTCTTTTTTCGGCGGAGGCAGTCAATTTTTTTCCTGATTCCATTATCTTGCATTTGTCGGACATGGGATCCGATCACCGTATGATTTTATGGCGATGTCGTCGGCGGGCTGTGAAGCACAAGAAACTCTTCCGTTTTGACAATCGTTGGACTAATAATCCGGAGGCTCGTCTTATTATCGACTATTATTGGAACATTCCTGTTTCGGGATCCCCTATGTACTGCCTTCATATCAAACTAAAACGTGTGCGTCATGCTCTTTTTCAATGGACGTTGGGTGGATGTTCGAACTCTCGTCGGCAAATTCATGATCTTACCCAAGCTATTCGTATGCAACGGGCGATGTTGATTCGGAATTGGGACTACATTCGATTGTTGGAACGAGATCTTACCATTGCTTGGGAGCAAGACGAGGCTTATTGGCAACAACGATCGCGTGTTAACTGGTTGCAGGGTGGGGACCGAAATACTAATTATTTCCATAGGGTCACTCAAACCCGTCGTGCTCGAAACTTTGTGTCCTCTCTTCGCACTCCTACTGGTACAATTGTTGACGATGAGCAAGAAAAGGGCGTGGTCTCGGTAACGCACTTCTCGACCCTATTTACTTCGGAAACTTCTCCTGCTGACTTTAATTTTGCAGTGGATATTTTGCCCTTGTGGCCCAAAGTCACGCCTGCTATGAATGAGGCTCTACTTGCACCAGTTCTTAATTCTGAAATTCGACATACTTTATTCCAGATTGGCTCTTCCAAGGCTCCGGGTTCAGACGGGTTCACGGCTCTGTTTTTCCAACACTTTTGGGACTTAGTTGGTTGCGACGTATGCGCGGCGGTGAAATCCTTTTTCCGTACTGGGCATTTGTTACAATTCTTTAATCATACCTGGCTTACTCTAATTCCAAAGGTGCCTCAAGTGGAAACATGTGCGCAGTTGCGGCCTATTGGTTTGTGCCAAGTATTCTACAAACTTATTTCCAAAATCATCGCTACTCGTCTTGGCAAGTGTTACCTCAAGTTATCTCCACCTATCAAAATGGCTTCGTAAAGGATCGCTCGATTGTTGATAATGTCATTCTTAGTCAAGAAGTTATGACGTACCTACGTAATAAAAGTACTGGCTATGATCGTTTTATGGCGCTAAGGCTTGATATGGAGAAGGCTTATGATTGGATTGAATGGCCCTACCTCTTTCGCTTAATGGAAAAATTGGGTTTTTCCCCTCGTGTAATTGAACTTCTCCACAATTGTCTTTCCACGACCTCCATTTTGGTTCTTCTCAATGGCGCCTCTTACGGGTATTTTCGGCCATCTCGTGGTTTACGTCAAGGGGATCCTCTATCACCATTACTTTTTGCTATTTGTACGGAGGGTTTTTCAGCTTTGCTGCTGCAATCCATTACCAGTGCTGAGTTAAAGGGTATCCGTCTTAATAGTCATTGTCCGATGCTCTCACATTTATTTTTTGCGGATGATGCTTATCTTTTTCTCCGGATTTCTCCGATCGAATGTCAACGATTACTGGATCTGCTTCGTCGTTATGAACGGATGAGTGGCCAGCGGGTTAATCTAGCAAAATCAGCAGTGGTGTTCTCTAAAAATACAACAACGCAAGAGGCGACGCAATTTGGGAACACACTACAAGTTGGTGCCATTGGGACACATGATCGATACCTTGGACTTCCTTCCATCATCCATCGTTCATAGCGGGATACTTTCCGATTCATTGAGGAAGCTGTTGCTAAGCGTCTCCAAGGTTGGAAACGACGTTGTTTATCGCTAGCAAGATTGGAAGTTCTGATTAGGTCAGTCGTGTCGGCCCTACCTGTTTATGCTATGTCATGTTTTCGACTTCCAAAGGAGCTCTGTCGGACTTTAAATCGTATGATTGCACGGTTTTGGTGGGGTCAACAAGGGAATGAAAGCCGTTTGCCTTGGGTATCTTGGAGAAAGTTGTGTAAACCAAAAGGGGATGGTGGTTTGGGCTTCCGGGATTTTGAGGCTTTTAATCAAACGCTACTTGCCAAACAGTGCTGGCGCATTTTACAAGATCCCAATTCTCTAGTTGCGCGGGTATTAAAAGGACGATACTTCCATCATACGAGTTTCTTGAATGCCGGTGTGGGTTCTAATTCTTCTTGGGCATGGCAATCACTTCTTCATGGCCGGACATTGCTAAGCCGCGGTTTGCGTTGGGAGATTGGTGCAGGATCTTCGATTGATGCTTTGACGGATCCTTGGGTTCCATCTCTTCCAAGTTTTCGACCAGTAGTGCTGCCGACTGCAGATCGGTCGCCTCGGTTAATCTCCTACTTCATCTCTCGCGTTAGTCGTTCTTGTGATCATCACCGACTTGGAGAGTTCTTCACGCAGGATTCCATTAAGAGTATCATTTGCATACCTTTGCCACGACTCCTTTGCCCGGATAAATTAATTTGTCATTTTGATCCACATGGTTTATTTACAGTTAAGTCAGCTTATCGGTTGGCGACTAGTTTGCCTCCTTTTTCAAGGGCTCGTGGTAGTGTGGACCAGGCTTCACCTCTTGATCCTGCGCTATGGCCTCGCCTTTGGGGTCTTCCTCTTGCTCCCAAATTGAAGTTTTTCCTTTGGCGGATTTTACTAAGAATCCTTCCGGTTAGGGAGGATCTTGCCCGACATGGGGTGGAGGTAGAAGATTCATGCCCTGTTTGTGGTTCAGATGAAGGCGAATCGCTGGAACATTTATTCCTTGCGTGTCGTGTGGCAGTAGATTTCCGTCAACGGTGTGGTTTACATCTGCCTCCGGGATTTTTTTTCAAGCACACATTTGTCCATCTTTTTAAGACACATCATTCTCTTCGATCATGCCACCATAATAAATTGGGTCCTCTTTTTTTGGCGGATTTGGAAAGGGCGGAATAATGTTGTCTTTCCACCCTATGCACAATTTACCACTGCTGCCTTGTACCGTCACCTATTATCTCATCATGCCTCTCATCAAATTGCCATCCTACCCAATCAGTCGCCGCCACCCAGACCTCAGCCTTATCCTCGTTCGACGCTTCAATCTACTTTTCGTATTGCAGTTGATGGGGCGACAAGTGCTCCGACTCATGGCGCAATTGGCGTGGTGGGTTTGGATCAGAATGTGCCAGTTTTTGCAATGGGTGGTTTCTTTCCAGGCCTTTTTCATCCTAAGATCATGGAGGTGTTGGCAATTAGAGAAGCTATATTACTACTTCGATAATGGCAGTGGCAGGATCGACCGATTGTGATTACAAATGATGCTCTTGCCGTTGTACAACATCTGAAGGCTTCTGATGCCAATGATGCCCTTGTGGGGGCTATCTTACGAAAAGTCATCTTTATGTTGCAAGAATTGCCATTGGTTTCTGTTGCTTTTACTCCTAGAGGAGCGAATCGGGCTGCCCATGTTGTGGCACGTAATGTCTTATGCTACTCTGGCTCTTGTAGTGTTCGTTTTAATTGTTCTTATTTGCTTTGACTATTATTTCACGAAGAAGCCGTTGTATTGTGGCTCTCTCGTGCTTACCTAGTTAATCCGCAAGGGTTTCTATGACAAAAAAAAAAAGGAGAAGCAGAAGAGGAGAGAGGTGAATGCGTAATTATCTAAAATTGTTACTTAAGTTTGATAGTTATGCAAAATTATAATAAATGTTTTATTTTATCTAAAATGGTAGTACAACAATTCCTATTTGGTACCTTTTGTTAAATCTTTGGACGGAAATTGTGATGGTAAACCAAATATCGATTTATATCATTTCGCTGCAACCATAATTCGACTTATGTAATTTAGTTGCTACAAAAAAAAAACTTACGTTGTTAGTACACAACATTTACTAAACTTGAGTGGTAACAGGTGCATTCAACCCTCAGCTGATCCCTACCCTCTCATCTTTTGTGTCATATGTCTCAAACCATTATTTTTATTCTTTCGTTTTTTTTACATATCCAATAATATTTATTTATTTTGATAAAATGATGTGATGCTCTTAAGTTTCATAGGGAGTTTGTATAAATGGTGAATTAGTGTGCATGATAATTTCTATAATAGTATTGTTGTTTGAATCACGATGCTAGGTAATTTCCATTGAAACTAAATAATTATACTAAATGTAGCGCATTCGTGACCACATTTATCGAGCATTAGCTAATGTCACCAACCATAATTATTTGGTGCTTAAGGAGGCAAAATTTTCTTTTTAAACAAAAAATAAAAAACAATAACCAATGAGTTCATAAACAGTAGTGTAGCGCTTGGCAACATTTTTTTTTTCTTTTCCTTTCAGTTTTGTGATTTCATATCACACAATTTATGTAACACTTTAGGCAAATTCCACATCGACAAAGCACGAGAGAGATTCATGGTTTATAAGTAAGAAACCGACCTTAACTGACAAGACGCGTTTTGGGGTGAAACGGAGGAGTTTTTGTGAGAACTCCGAAATTAAACGTGCTCAATGTGGAGTCTCAAAACAAACAATATCTTTATCGAGAAAATGTTCAGAATGTTACAATTTATCCTTACCAAAAAAATATCACACAATTTATTAAAATAACCAGAAAGAAACACTCCCATAATAATGACAGCTCCCCTGAATGATTGGATTGAGATTCACAATCACACACACCATGATCTGACTACATATGTGTTTGTGAGGGACATGTTACGGTGATTACTATAAAATAGTAATCACCGTGGTTACTAAGGGAAAATTAGGTATGAAAAAAAACTTATTAATTACCTTTTTTAACAAATTACATTTTAGGAAGTTACAAAAATATATTAATTACAATTCTCTCTCTTTTTCTCACTTCCACAATCTCCAGGCAGATCTCTCTTCCTTTTTTTCCCCAATCTTTTCCTTGTTTTCGTTCAGCCGAACTAATACCGCTGCAACAATAAAACAATACCAATCCATTAAAAGAACACTACCAATGCATAAAACACCAATACCATTTGAGAAATAAAAACACTACAATTTCACAAAACACTAATACCATTTGAGAAATAAAAACACTACAATTTCATAAAACACCAATACCATTGCAGATTTATCAATACATGCAAATCAATACCATTACATGATAATCAATACCAATGCAAAAAGGAGAAAATAATACCAATTTGAAAAACATAACCACTACAAAAAAACTACCATTTCACTGAAAAGCAATACACTTACATGATAATCAATACCAATGCGAAAAAACACTACCATTATGAAAAAATAACTACCAATGCGGAAAAAACAATACCAATACAAAAAAAAAACACTACCACTACGAAAAAATCACTACCAATGCGGAAAAAAACACTACAACTACGAAAAAATCACTACCAATGTGAAAAGATCAGATCTAGGGTTTTTATTCATCCCACCTTTTCCAGCCACAGGCATCTCCCAGAGAGAGAGAGAGAGAGAGAGAGAGAGAGAGAGAGAGAGAAGTGGGTAGGGAAGTAGGGAGGGGAGTGCGCGGCCGGCGGTGTGGTGGGCGGGGGAGGGTGGTTGGGTAGAGAGAGAGGAGGATCGGCAGTTGTGAGGAGGAGGAGGCACACGGGATGAGAGGAGGGCTCGCTGGAGGGGGACTGCTGAGAGGGATAGGTAGGGAGTGATTAGGTTTTAAGGTATAAAAATAAAGTGTGATATTATTTTATTTCCAAAAGTATCCTTAATCTAATATGTACCGTCAATTTAAAAATATAATAAAATATAGATAATGAATGATAAAGATTTTGATAGCCACCGTGATTATTCAAAATTGAGTAATCATGCTAACCCTTGTGATCTGTGTTCCACTAAATATTTCTTTTGGCGTTTGGGACTCTTACATGTGTCCCGGATTTATATATGATAATACAGATAGTCCAACAAAGCAGATTGTCCACTTAACACGTAACCGAACCTGGCTGGCTTCTCTCGTGGCTGGTTTTGGTGACTTTCGGTTGACCATTTGACCCTCCATTTCCATGGTCTTTCTCCCCATACCTCCCTTCTTCATATGCACTGTGCAGCCGACATTGTTTACTTCACATCTTGCTTTTTTTTGGAAAAAATCCCAAATTACACATGTTTTTAAAAAAAATTATCAAAATACACACGTTATGAAAATAATTCCCAAT